GAATTGTAAACCGAACTAACTTGTCCCAAAGCAGACAAAACAACAAAATTCTCAAAAAAAAAAAAAAAAAAAAGATCGAGAGAATATATGAGCAACAGACCATTACAAAAGGAATTCCAAAAAGTCTATTTCAAGAAGGAAAATAATTTCAGTCTTAAGATGCAAGAAAAAAATGATAGGCAAAGAAATCAATAAGGAAACGAATAAATCTAAATAAAATTCAATGATGTAAAACAATAATGAGAAAGTGTAATAGCTAGAGATAGAAGATAGAATTGTTTCTAGCCAAATACATCATAATTATTGTGGGTTTTGGTCAAACTTTTCTGAGGTTCACATTTTATTAAATATTACATTAGTAAATCTGCTAAGATAACCGGAGTAGTCACTAATATATTTGACATAAGTGAAATAAATTTTAAATATATAGAAAAAATGGAATAAAATTGTAAAAGAATTAAGTGCAAGAGAAGTCAAAAAAGAATAAAACACACATCTAAAAGTAGAACAATACAAAATCATACAAAATAAGATACTAGAAAAACTCCAATAACTTTCCTACACAGACTATTCTTGATAATTAAAAGACAAAAGTTGTCAAGCTAATTAAATAAAACTATCCTGTAATGTGCTTATAAAAGACATACTTAAATCAATGTATAAGAGAAAGCTTAAGTGGAAAATTACTGAAAAGTTTCCAGGGATTTACTAACTAAAACAATGAGTAGTTAAATAGATATAAAAGAAAGTACATATTAAGAAAGAATAAATTGCTGCAAAAAGAATATTTCTCCATAAGTATAAAAGTTTCAGTCTAACAGAAGTACATGACAATATCAAACTTATAAAATCCTTATAGTGTCATCCCACACACCAAAACTTTCCGTACTTAAAGGAATATGTAAAATCGCAGCATCACACTCAGACTCTTTAACACACATTCCGTAATTGTTAAGTGAAAGGCAACATATCAGTAAAAACAGGCAGGATTAGTCCAATTTGATGCATTGAATATGTATGGGATGCTGCAGGCAATAATTTTGTGTGTACATTCTTTGTCAAAAACTTAACTTTCTATGAGGCCGTGATATGGCCTGAACATATCTCAAAGAGTCATCATCATGTGGATGGTAATCTAAGGTTAAGAAATAAATACCAAAATTTAATTTTAAAATGCAAATGAAATTGAAAATTAGATACTAAACATTCTCAAATAATTGATAGGTAAAAGAAAACTGTCAAAGTAGAAATGTAAAAACTTTAAGAAATGAATAGTTAAAATACTATATATCAATAATTAAGGTTACAAATAAAGAGTTAACTCACATGAAATTTTTTAAGTATTCATATTACAAGAGAAAAAAGCTGAATGTTTATGAGAAATTAGGTAAAAAGCCACAGAATAAACTCAGCAAACTTAAAATAAATGAATTGAATAAATATGAGATCCAATTATGAGAACTGACACAGGCAATTTACATTATTTGAAAAGGCTGATAAAGCAGACTAACTTGCATAAGGATTGATTAGAAAAGGAAAAGAGAAAAATGAAGGAATCATTGTTAGAATTGAAAATGCAATATAGTAAAACATGTATCTGCTATGTAAGAGACAATGGAACCAAATTATGAAACCCCTTATGTTAGTAAGCATGAAAATTTTGATTGAATTGTTAATTTTCTTGCAAAGTTCAATGTAGCAAAACTGTGTTCGCAAAGTAAAAAGAATCAATATTTGATTTTCATTGTAAAATATGTATCATATTTTAAATTCTGATGGATTATTAATGAAATCTCAAAAATTTTATTAGGAACTTTGAGCAAATATTCTAGAAATAGATGATTTTAATATCATTAGTTCTTCAAAAATATGAAAAAAGAGAGAATAGAAAAATTATCCAAATAATTTTAAGAGGCCAGTCTCAGTCGTATTTTTTTTAGAACAAACAAACTGACAAAAGACCAGGCAGAAAGAATATTACATGTGGATCTTACAGGTACAGATATTCCTATAGAAATCTCCAAAATACACATTGAGAAAGCAAGTGATACCCCATCAGCTAGCTCTATTCATGCATGAATGTAGGTCTCACTTTTGGAAGTGCCATTAACATAATGACCATATGCTCTGCTTTGAACATGGTGGCATCCATAGTGGTCCATGCATTAAAGCCTTGGTCCTTGGTCCAGGTGGTGCTCTCATGTGGTACTGTGCATCTTCAGGCCTTGGGATGTTCTCAGAGGTCCTTGGCTCATTTAGGTCCTAAAGACATGGTGGGGCCTCAGTCCACCTTCTCTCTCTCTCTGCTTCCTGGCTGATGATATGTAAGTGGTTTGTTCCACCAGGTGCTCCTGCCATGATGTGCTGCCCTCACCAGAGGCCCAAATTGGGGCTCCTCACCTTGGACTGAAACCTCAAAAACATGAGCAAAATGAACCTATTTTCTTTATAAACTAACTGCCTCATGTGTTTCAGTGTAGTAATATAGAGACAACTAATACTCCTCTCCAAAATATTAAGAATATATGCACACCCATGTTTATAGCAGCACAGTTTGTAATAGTTAAATCTTGGAAACAACCCAAATGCCCATCAACCAAAAATGGATAAACAAGATGTGGTGGTTTGTTTTTTTTTTTTGCAATGGAGTACTACTGAGCCATAAATACGGATAAACTTGAGACATTTCTAGGTAAATGGATGCACCTTGAGACCATACTCTCAAGTGAAACACATCAAACACACGTGTAAATATCACATTGTCTTTCTGGTGTGAGGAACTGAAAGTGTACATAAGGTCCAAAATGTATAATAGATACTGTGAAATGGGAAAAAAACAGTTTAAAATAATGCCAAATGTCAGATACATTGTTAATAATTAAAATGCTTCATGCAATAAACGGTATAGTTTTCTTAGGAGATGAGTTGAGAGATAGATTAGCAATAGAAAATATATCCTTTTAATTCATGATACACAGTGTATTTACCATTGTTACACTCTATTTTGTCCTGAAATTTTATTTTTTCATAGAACTGCTTTTATATTTTCTTTATTAATATCTACTTTATTACATCAAAATAAAAACATAAAAAATAAAATATTAAATAAGAAAAACTATGAATATGAAAATAGAGGTTAAAAAATGAATTAGGTACCATGCAATAACTATGATAAAAACTCAGCAATCCAAAAAAAGAGGGAGGAATGTCTTAAAATGACAGAGATTCTGACAAAAATTATGGTATAAAAATGATTCCTTCTGAAATTAAAAATGAGTTAAAGTGTCCACTGTTACCACTTGTTTACATTATTTTCTATTTTTTTTCATCTACTGTGCAAGATATATACCAAGTTCATAGACAGGAAGCCTCAACATTTTAAAATGTCAAGTCTCTTCAAATTGCTGTATAAATTCAACCTAATTCCAGTAAAAGTTCAAAAGCACTTTCCATGGAATTCACCAAACTGGTTATAAAATTAACATGAATAAGAATAGGACCAATATTTAAAAGACATTTAAAAAGAATCAAATGAAGGAACTTGTATATATTAAAACATTTAAAAATACGTAAGTATGACAACATTATTAGCAGAGATTAGGATAAAGAGGATAATGGAACAGAATACAGAGAGTTCTGAGAATCAACCCACACTTTTATGTAACTTGATTAATGATAGAACTGACATTTCAAAGTACTGAGAAAAAAAGGACTTTTCAATCAATTCTACTGGCAAAATTACTTATTTATATGGAAAATTACAGAATTATATCTTTATCTCCAACACTTTCTTGGGTTTTAGGAGACACTTTTGAAAGCCAAACTTTTACATTTACAGAATAAAATCTGGAAGATTATGTTCATTTGCAGGAGCTTATTGTAGAAAAAGATTTTGTAATACACATTATCTAAAAAGAAAATAAAACAATAATTACAAATATGTTTGATGATTTTTCCAGCTTGTTGTCATCAAATGATGTCATAACTTGAGAGAACAGAGAAGCTTCAAATGGGAGAAAATTGCCCTAAAACATTGACTATTGAAGGACTGAGATCCAGAAAATATAGTGAAAATACAAATCTATAACTGAAATATAATGCAATAAGAATGGAAAGAATGGATATATGGAAATTAAGAAAATATGAAATATATGAATATATGTAGTAAATAAATATATAAAGGATGAATAATAATAAAATCATAATGATTTCACTTTATAGGTTGAGAGAAAACTAAAAATTTTAGCATTTGAGGTAGGCAAGGTATGAAATACCAAGAATCTTACACACCATTGGTGAAAGTAACATGGGAACAAATAATATAGTTGGAAGAACTTGATATTATTTAGCAATATTGGCAATGTGATTGTCTTATAGCCTTAGGGTTTCTCCTCTAGATCTTACTCATTTGCCCCAGAGGACAGGTGTACAATGTTCATAAAACCCAGTTTTAATAGCTCAGACCAAAATCCAGACACATCTCAAATGTCATCATTAGTGGAGTGTTCGAATAAACTGTGGTATATTTATACAATGATAAAACTAAGTTAAATACACTACACGCACAATTCTTACTTAAAAAGTAAATTTCTGATGAACAATACAGTATTTCATTAATACTCAAAAGGGAAGTACTCATAATAAACATAAAATTTACATTAATGATTATCAGTAGAGTATGAAACAGAAAAGGAGAGCCCCACAGAGTACTATGATGACCCTGTGGTGTGTTCCATCTAAAACTAGAATTATAGGAGGTCTGTTTTAATGTTATACACACAGTATGCCTGCAAAGTATGAGATATATAACACATAAAAATACATACCAAGTATATGATAATTTTTTGAATGTGTCCCTAAGCACCAAGTCAAATGTACTTATTTTTCAGGAGTCCTCTGATTACAAGTAAAGTAAATGAAACCCAAACTAACATAAGCATAAAGGGAACCTACTAGTTCAAGTAACTGAAATCGCATGCTGGAAATAATGATGGTCTTACAGTTCAATATCTGCTGTTTCTTGCTCATGTACATCACTGCCTTCAGTTGCAGTCTCCTTGTTGTAGTGAGATAGGTTCTGTAGCTCCAGTTTTATAACCTCTCAGGTCCAAGTACAGCAAAGAAGGGGTAACTCTTTTCTTGACCTCACAAACAAACTCTAGCTCTGGCTTGGGTTGAATTTTCCTTTCTGTGATTGAGTCCCGGAATTGCCTCTGCCTGAGAACACACGAGCACCTCCAGCTCATTAGGTGTGAGCAACATGTTCCCAGGTGTGATTCATGTTCCCGAATCAGCACAGATGAGTGACTCATCAAAGGCAGGTACTATGTTTTACAGTGTTGTCTCTCCAAATCCAACTGGGGTGCTAAAACAGAATATTGTAAATGGGCTGAGGTAAGCAACGGTGCTCAAATATACTCACAAAAGCCTATTTAAATTCAAATGAACTATAGTTCATATCAACCAATTACCATTTATTGTTAACATATATAAAGAGCAGGCATTGTAATGAATTTTGAAGCAGAGAGAACTAAGTCAGTCTCAGCTTTGTCCATGCTCCCTGAATAAGTGAGATTTTTCTGCAACATGAAAATTATATTTCTACTTCACTTTTTTGCTGCAAGGATCTAGTTATATGTGGAATAGAGTTTATACAGGATAGCAAATGTGAAATAAACAATCTTCATCATTACTGTCATCCACACTATTATTTTCTTCATCATCATTGTCATCACTATTATCACTAACTGAATATTCACAGGAATATGTTTCACTGGCAAAAATACTCGGAGTTTATTCTATGGTCGTTAAGAAAAAATATTCACTTCTACCTCATATATTTGTTGCATTTTTTAATTAAGTTTAATTATTGGTACATTTTAGGTATACAATATAGTTACATTCATCATTGGGATCTTGTATCTTTACATGATGTATCTTGGTTCTTATTTTTTCCCCATTCCCCGGCCCACCCTTCATGCCCTCCACCCTTCTCTATTTACAGAAAGTTTGTTTCCATTTTTTCCTTTTCTCATATTTTTCCCTTCTTTCCTTTCCCCTACCCTTCCCACCTCCCCAACTCCTTTAGACCATTTCTTCTGATTTCACATTATCAATTATACCATTTGAACCTTATTTACACTTTTAGTTTCTCACACCAGAGAAACTATTTGGTATTTACACGTGTGTGTCCTACTTATTTCACTCAAGAGTATGGCCTCAATGTATATTTGTTGCATTTTAAAATTACTGTCCTTGTCACAACGTACTGCATTTGTGTTTATATATGTTTTCTCACCAGAATAAGATCTTCTTGTGTACAGTATTTAATCCATCCCTTACTACAGTTCTTGGTATATTTCCCTGCACATAATGGGAAAGAAGGGGTAAGGTAGCATAAATGGAACCCATATTGATCAGGAGTCTACCTCACAGAAAACACTGTACGTCATGTGTTATGGGCATCTTACTGTGTCTTAGTAAGAACTATATTGTTTAAACAGTGTTATTCTCATTTTTAAATATGAAGAAATTATATCACATTACCTGATTAAAATGCATCATCTCATAAATTCCAGAGCCAGCATTAGAAATGCAGTATGTTGGAATTCCAGAACTACTCACTATCACACACTAATATTTCTTTTTGTTGTACTAATTATATCGGTACATTTTAGGTATATAATATAATGACATTCATCATTGGAAATATGCAACTTTACATAATCCATCTTGGTTCTTAATTTTTCCCCATTCCCCTGCACTCAGTTCACCCCTCCATCCCTCCTTATTTATAAAGACTTTGTTTCCATTATTTCATTTTTGCATATTAATTCCAGTCCCTTCTTTCCTTTCTCCTACCCCTCCCACTTCCCCTTCCCCTTGGCACCTTTTCGCCCTATTTCACATTGTCTATTATAACTTCTAGGCTTATTTACACTTTCAGTTTCTCACACTAGAGAAACTCTTCGATATTTTCACGTGTGTCCTATTTATTTCACTTAAGAGTACCACCTCAATGTGCATCTATTTAGCTATAAATTTTTCTAGTTTCTTGTTCTTTATGGCTGAGTAATACTCCATTTTATGAAAAAACCACATTTTCTATATCCAGTCTCCAGTTTGTGGGCAATTGGGTTGCTTCCAAGTTTTAGCTATCACGAACTGTCCTGCTCTGAACATGGGTGCAAATATATCACTGTGGTATGATTCTTTTAATTCTTTAGGAAAGATATGAAGCAGGGAAATAGCTGTGTCAAATGGGACTTCCAGTCCTATTTCTTTGCAGTATCTCCATATGGGTTGCACCAGTCTACACTCCCACCAGCAGTGGAGCAGTGTTCCTCTTTTCCCACAGCCCCGCCAGCATTTGTTATTGGTTGATTTCTTGATAGCAGCCATTCTTTCTGGAGTGAGGTGGAATCTCAGAGTTGCTTTCATTTGCATCTCTCGAATAACCAGTGATGTTGAACATGTTTTTATATATTAATTTGCTATTTTTACTTCTTTGTCTGAGAAATATCTGTTCATTTCAGATGCCCATTTTCAGATTGGGCCTATAAATTTGGGAGGTCTGATCTTTTTAAGTTCTTTATAGATTCGAGATCGTAGACCTTTGTCTGAAGAAGAGCATGTGAAAATGTTTTCCCACATTGTGGGTTGTCCCTTCACACTGTTGGTGGTTTCTCTTGCTGCACAGAAGCTTTTTAGTAAGAAGAGATCCCACTTGATGATTGTTTGTGCTAGTTCATGGGCAACTGAGGTTTTGTTCATAAAATCTTTTCCTACACCAATATCTTCAAGAGTTCTTCCTAACCTCTCTGGTTTAGTGTTTGTGTTTTAATATTTAGATCTTTAATCCATTTTGATTTTAGTTGAGTGTAGGTGAGAGAGATATAGGTATAGTTTTAATCTTTGTCAAGTTGAAACCCAATTTTTGTAGCACCATTTATTAAAGAGGCTATCTCTCCTCCAGTGAGGGTATTTGGCCCCTTTGTCAAAGATGAGGTGGCTGAGTGTGTCTGGAGTTGTTTCTGCATCTTCTAATCTGTTCCACTGGTCCTCAGGTCTGTTTCTTTGCCAGTACCATGTGCTTTTTATCACAATAGCTTTGTAGTATAGTTTGAAGTTGGGGGTTGTAATACCCCCTGCCATGTCTCTGTTACATAGAATTGCTTTTGCTATTCTGGGTCTCTTCTTGTTCCAAATGAATTTTTGGATTGTTTTCTCAAGGTCCACAAAGTATGCTGCTGAAATTTCAATTGGGATTGCACTGAATCTATATAGCAGTTATGGAAGTATGGCCATTTTCACTATGTTGATCCTTCCTACCCAGGATCAAGGGATGTCTTTCCATTTTCTGATATCATCTTCAATCTCTCTTTTCAGAGTGCTATAGTTTTCAGAGACAAGGTCTTTGATTTCTTTTGTTAGATTGATTCCTACGTATTTCAGTTTTGTGGTGCTATTGTGAAAGAAATTGTTTGCCCTATTTCTCTCTCAGTGAGTCTGTTGTTCGTGTAGAGGAAAGTTATTGATTTTGGTGTTTTGACCTCATATCCAGCTACTTTACTGAATTTGATTATTAAGTCTAGAAGACTTTTGGTGGAGTTCTTGGGGTCTTCTATATAAAATATCATGTCATCTGCAAATAATGACAATTTCACTTCTTCATTTCCTAACTTTATTCTGTTTATTTCCTTCTCTTATTTAATTGGTATGGCTAATGTTTCCAAGACTATATTGAACAGGAGTGGTGATAGTGGACATCCTTGTCTTGTTCCTGATTTTTGTGAGAAGGAATTCAGTTTTTGACCATTTGGTATGATATTGGCTATTGGTTTTTCATACATGGCTTTTAACAGATTGAGGTAGAGACAGTCAATTTTTGTTGGGTTTTTATCATAAATACATGTTTGATTTTGTCAAATTCTTTTTCTGCATTGATTGAGATGATCATATGGTTTTTATCCTTGGTTCTCTTGATATAGTGTATTACATTGATTGATTTGCATGTGTTGAACCATCCCTGCATCCCTGGGGTGAATCTCACTTGGTCAGGGTGTAAGATCTTCTTGATGATCATCTGTATTCTATTTGCCATTATCTTATGAAGAATTTTTGCATCTATGTTCATTAGGGAGATTGGCCTACAGTTCTCTTTTTCAGTTGGGTCTTTCTCTGCTTTGGGGATCAAGATGATGCTTGCTTCCAGGAAGGAATTTGGGAGTTTTGCTTCCCTTTCAATTTCATTGAAGAGTTTAAACAGTAGTGGCAGTAGTTCCTCTCTAAATGTCTTGTAGAATTCTGCAGTGAAGTCATCAGGACCCAGGCTATTTGTCGTTGGTAAGTTTTTAAATTGCATTTTCAATTTCATTGATTGATATTGGGTCATTTAGAAATTTTAGGTCTTGTTCGCTTAACTTTGCTAATTCATAGGTATCTAGAGATCTGTCCATTTCATCTGTTTTCCATCTTATTGGTATATAGTTCTGTCTACTCATCAGTAAGTAATAACTGAGGGTGCTCAGTTTCATTTTGAATTCTCCCTGTTGTGACCTTGGGAAGGTGGGCCACTGTAGAGGTGAGGAAGGGCCTTGAAGACTGAATGGCAGGTAAAGATAAAGCTGTCATTAACCCATGAAGCTACAGCCCTGTGATGTCCAGGTGTGGGGACCTTGAATCTCTGTAACCTTTAGGGACACAGACTGTCTATTAGTAATTCTTCAAAGGCCACAAGAACTGAGCTGCTCCATCCTCTTCTATCTGCTTTTACAGTGGACCCTCAAGTTACAACTGACTAACATATGAACCACTTGGGTTAATTAGGTTGATGGAAGATTCATCTGCCTCTTTTATCTACAATGTGTACAGAGGTAAACATCCAGAGCTCAGCTGTATTGACTTAGTTACAACCAGTGATAGAGTTTATAAGTCAAGGGTCCACTGTATTTCCAACCACACCAGAAATTTTCTTCTTTCTTTCATTGTCCCAGATGAAAACAAAGGAATTCTGATCTTACTGCAGAAAAGGAAATGATCTTACTGAAATGGACAAAAGCATACGCAGAACGATTCACTCAATCCAATAAGGCTTCACACTAATCTTCAGTATTTCCTCCCATTCTTAGTCCTCATATCAGGGGAAGGAGGGACAGCTGACCTGGCTTTAATTCGTG